CTCTGTTTCTCCAAACTGAAGTAGTTCTAAGAGCTATCTACAACAGGCCAGATATAGTTTATAACCTTTTTTTCAGAATACCTCTTCAACATCATATGGACTAGTAGGCCCATTTCCACTACGGTTCTCAATTATTTTCAGCACCCCCCCCCCCCCCCCCCCCCCCCGATGCTTGTCATGCATTGCTCCCCCCTCATGGGATAATGCCCAACAGAGTGTGATGGGGTGTGCGCGTTGGTATATATTCTGTTGGTTTATGTCTGACCAGGAAGGGGGATTGATGCCAAGGTATCCAGAGATGGGGAGGGAGTGTGTTAAATAAAGCATCTACTTTGGGTTCTCCATCAAAAACCTCCGAGGGGGCCAGCTGTGTGCATTCTCATGCACCCCCAAGTGTGGGTGCACCCGACTAATTGAGAACCATTGCACTACTGGTACCTCTGGGTAATTTTACCAGGTATTCATGGTATGCATGTGTCACCAGTTCACAGAGTTGGCCCCAAAATACCCACTTTCAAGTCCTTTCAGGAACCAAATTAGCACCTGCCTTGGAGTATGTACTCAGAAAAGGCTTGGTAGAGTCGCTGGGTGGGACTTGTGCTTAACTCATGCTGATTGGTTGTAAATTTGTGAGAAATGATGTCGGCAGGTGTCATCAAACACCCGGCATTTGTAAAATTAGAAGAGTTGCTACATAAGCAGAATGGAAGAAGCCAAAAAATGCACCGGAGACCCCCTACAACACTGTTGACACAGCTTTAAAATATGGGCCTTCTTCTGGTAATTGAGCGGCGTTCTTTACATTGCACAGTCGCTCTCTTAACGTGTGTCCCCAAACAGTGTAAAATGTGTCTAATGTTGTTAACGTCTATGGCTGTGGGCACCCTTAGATGGCCAGTGATGTCACGCACTGCAGAGAAATAGTTGTGATATGCTACACACTAGCAAATTCTTTAAGGAGCCGTTTACAGGTGCAACAAGAGTCCATTTATTCCAGTAATTCAACTTAGACTGAGAGACCATCTGAAGGCTCAAGAACCATTTGCAGGTGATCAGAGTGTGAAACTTTCAACCTATTTTAACCTCTTCACAATAATCTGTCTGAGGTTTTGAATTTGGGGTTTCATAAACTGTAAGCCATCATCATCATCACAATTATAACAAAGGCTGGAAATATCTGGCTTTGCGTGTAACGACTCCATCTCATGTATTGATTTCAACTTTTAAGTTGAATTAAATAAATAAACTTTTGCACGATTCTCCAAGTTTGTGAATTTCACCTGAATGTGTGGAGACACCATCATAAAATCTATGTGACATTTTAAAATCTAAATGTAGAATCAAAATAAAAACAGCAGTCCTGCCTTCACAATCATTTCCCAGTTTTCAAAAGGTTTACATAAGTAAAACAGCGATTGTTTCACACCATGAAGCCTCCTGTTCTGAATCACTTTTTTCTTGTATCAGTCTGTGTGGCGTACCTTTTTTCTCTCCTGTCATCAAGTCCAAGTGAAATGTCTCCATAGTTAATTTTTTTTCTTTATTTTTTTTTCCTTTACGTGTCCTGTCTGGCTATGAAGCAAGCAGAATTAATGTCTGAATGCTGGTGACAAGTCTTACAGATTTTACTCTCAGGTGGAGCATCAAAACTTCTGCTGTTAATGTCACGCCTGATACTCAAAACTTTATTGTTATTGTTTTCTGAATGCTTTGCAATTTCGACCGGACACAGAGTCAGAGGTGAAAGAGAAAGGAAGAGAAAAAGGAGTGTGTGTGTGTGTGTGTGTGTGTGTGTGTGTGTGGGGGGGGGGTCCACAAAAATTAACAATCAATGATGAACAAGAGTCTGCTTCTAGACCTGCAGAAAAGCGACACACAACAATACATCAGGACCAAGCTATCACTGTGTCAACTTGATGAAGAAATGTAAAATCAACATTGTTTTACTGAACAATCACATGATAATAAATCACAGTGCATTTAGTGGCAACCACAGCCTTAAGACATGTGTTGAACGTGCCCAAATCCATACTTGTGAGAGCACCATGTGAGCACCTGTGTGTACACGTGCATGTTTATGTAAGGTTTCTCTGAGCGTCCAATAGTGAGTGTGAGGGACCACAGATCTGCCCCCCAAAGATGCATAGGAGATGGAGGGAGCTCCAAGTCCCAGAGATCCAGAAGCTGCCCCAGAGCACAGGAACCCCAAGGAGGCCGCAACCAGAAAATTCAATTCAATTCAATTCAAAAATACTTTATTAATCCCAGAGGGAAAATGATTAAAATCTTGTTGGCCAGTGATCTCACATTGCCCCTGCCCCCCTTGAGAGGCACAGAGGATCACCTCGGGGGGCCACAACCAGCAGCCGGCAGAGTCCCGGGAGATATCAGCGGCAAGCCCACAGGCCCCCCCGCAGCCTCCCACCCCCCAGCTGGCTGAGCCCGGGACCCAGCAACCCGGGACCCAGGGGCGACCACCCCCGCCGGGGACCCAGCAGAGCCCAGGGACCCAGACCCCACCAGGCAGCCAACGGGATTGATCAGGCAGATGCCAAAAATCTTAAACCCCCTGACCTGGGAGCCACGAACACTCAGGCAGACCAAGGCACCACACTCCACACCTAGTAAGGCAGGGGGAGGGGAGACGAAGATGTATAGCATCAAAAGAAGTCCCAGGAGAGAGGAAGAGTCAAAGGCCCCACCTGACATATACAGTCATACACAGACACAGTCACACACTCCCTCCCTCATGCTCACACATGCACATACAACCAAAGACTTACAAAAATGCACGCCGGACACCCACTAATGCTCCCCACACACACCCTATTCACTCTGGTCCCGGTACTGCTGCACATGGTGTACAACCTTTACCGGTTCCCAGAGTTCGACCCTTTCTGCTGGGGTGCTGATGAGCAGGCTCCCCCGCCCAACGCTGAGCAAAGCAACCCACCACCCCAGACCCCAGCCAGACGGCCAGATCTCCCTCCTAGCCTCCAGCCCCGGAAAGCCAAGTGACAACAGAGGTGTGCTAAGACCCCTAGTCTCCCTCTGCCTGCTCCAATATAGTGTTAGTGCGTGGTGATGAGGTGTATTCCATGGCTGTGGTGAGCGGGCAGTGCGGGCATCATCTGGCCTACGCCAGCTGACGCCACCACACCACCCCACTTGCACCCACAGCCCTCAGTGTCTAAGTGCAGTTTAAAATTGGAAGTGGGCACCGGCACTTGGGATGAGGCTGAGAAATCCCCCTGCCAAGTGCCGTTGGATGTGCTCACTCCCAAGGCCCTAAGTGTGTGTTTGCATGGAATGTCGTTGGTGGAAGTGTTTAAGGTGCAAATAAAATTGGGGGGCAGGTTGCCACAGTAATGCGGAAATGGGCTCCATAGCTGCACCCCCTGACTTGTCTCCATAGTTTAATGATAATTGAACCACTTCTTGTTCAGGAGAGAAATATTGTTTTTACTTCACCAACTCAAGCACCAAACCAAGCAGAAAATTATGTTAAAGCAGAAACTACCAGAGACACTAACCATACCAATGCAGTAACTACATTTATTAATTCAGCAGCACTACTTTATGATTTGGTAAACTTTATTGCACATACTTTTGGAATCCATTTTACAAACATATTCCTTCAAACCACCTGTTTTTCACTCAGGCAGGATGCTTCAGCTCATTGTAATCCAGATGAAAAAAAGTCATACGGTTTTACAAGCAGCTTCTGTAATCAGAAACTCATCTGTTTCTTTAAAACGCTGTTTTTCTTTGCTGTTTGTGTTGGAGGAAACATTATTCTACACCAGTGTTTCGGTTTAAACCCAGACCACTAATTCAGGTCTTAATCATGCATCTATTAAAAACCTTCCGTTAAAAAGAATCTGCTATGCATTTTGCAAAAGGCAAAAGCCAATTTTTTTTCCCAAGGTAAATCATGTGAATTAGTGTGTGTGTGTGTGTGTGTGTGTGTGTGTGTGTGTGTGTGTGTGTGTGTGTGTGTGTGTGTGTCGTTGAGGCAGAGATTTGTCATTTTCACAGAAACCAAACAAAGTTTTAGCATGGATGAAAGGCTGGATCTGCTCGTTGTGATGGAAACATGCAAAATAGATTTTAAAGTGTTTGTCTTCAGGTGCTTTTATTGAAAATTGATTATTTATGCCATCCAAAGACCAAACAAATCAATAAAATTTAAATAAAGTCATTTTTATAAATGTGATGCTAAGCAGCCACTTTAAGGGTAATATAATTTACATTTTGGTTGAAATTTTTCATGGAATTAGAAATTAAAAACACAAATACAGACCAGGACTATACATTGTCAGACTTCTTGGTTGTTACATGACAGAGTTGTGTGAACATGACATTTTGGTCTAATTAAATGTAAAATGTGTTACCTTCCTTCTTCATCAAGTTTTAAAATGTTTTTACTTTAATAATGTCAGCCTTATTAAAGAGCAAGTCACCCCCAAATCGCGTATTTTTTTATGATAAACAATATAAATCAGTGTCTAATCGTGCTGTATACACGTGTCATCAACAAATTGGCACTTTAGTGCATCTTAGTTAAAATTAAAATATTCTGCCTAAAACTGTCAGTGTTGCGCCGTCGTCAGGTAAAAATTGCACTACATTTGGATTTAAATCTGCCATCCCTATTGGCTAAGAGGTACACTATGAACTTAGCTGGTACATTACAATGTATTAATGTCGTTGTAAGCCTGTGTGTGTGTGTGTGTGTGTGTGTGTGTGTGTGTGTGTGTGTGTGTGTGTGTGTGTGTGTGTGTGTGTGTGTATGTGTGTGTGTGTGTGTGTGTGTGTGTGTGTGTGTGTGTGTGTGTGTGTGTGTGTGTGTGCATGTGTGTGTGTGTTTGTTGGTGGCTCTGCCCTCTTGGTCTGCCTGGCAACAGCATTTGTTGCATTTTTCAAACATCAAGTGGGAGTGGAGTAAGAGTCTGGTAGGGGGTGACTTGCTCTTTAAGTTACCAGAATAGTGAGTTTCATCTCATAACCTACATGCGTAGCCAGATATCCCACAGAAGGAGACATTTCTGCATGGCTGGGCCGGTCATCACCAAACGTGAAAATGACCAAAAACAGTTCTGTCAAAAACTCAGACCAAGGTGAGATATGTGAGTCTCCTTTGTCAACATTTCCTTGTAGTGGAAAGGGTTTTAGGATTTTCACCATCACTGCCCACTACAAAAAGGCTCTGACATCACATGTGCGACATTAGGCACAGCGGTAGCACAGGAGGTGGAGTAGATTGTCCAGTAGGGCTGGTCAATAAATTCGTTATCGAAATTTCTGACCTTAACCGATATCGTTTTTCACATGTCAGTTAATGTGATAATAAAACAAATGAACATTTCCCATGTGTGTGATGCCTGCATGTAATTTCAATAATTAAATATATGCATATTAATTCATTGTCACCAACTTTTTCCTGCGTGCGTGTGTGTGCGTGCACGTGTGTGTTTGTATTTTGATGCCACTGCCTTGCAAATATCCAGAAGTCGTATTGTTTAAAAGCATAATTATTTAGTTGCCACCAGAGGAGTTCATAGAAAGTTAGACTGTATTAGACTCCCTCTTTGCCGTGTGCTGCTACAAACACACTCACATGACCTGCTCGGGTGTGTTTACTACCTCAGAGACAGAGGGAGAAGAGATTCACTGTAATCCTTCAAATACACCCACTGTCCTCCCTCTCCTCCCTCTTCCTTGAGTCCCGGTCGACTCTGCTTGGTCCACAGAACAGTCCTTCACTTGTGGAGTAATGCTGCCTGGATCCTGGAATCATTGCTCAGCTATGCAATAAAGAAGAGGATTAGCAGAGCCGAGCGCCACTGCGAGGATTTGGTGTTTTGGCCCTATATCCTTCACCGGGCTGACTGAGAGACTACATTCTCATTCTGCCTCTTTAAATTTTCATTATTTCTCATCATTCTGGTTCTTCCTCGCTTTCACCGATCTCCACCATGACCTTGTCTGAGGACCAGTCTGCGAGGCCCCAGCCCTGTTTGATCACAGAGCCCGGAAAGCATATCAGCACATCGTTGCACCAGCACACAACAGAACACATTGGCTCCAAAGAGGACTATATGGACAGCGAGGAGAATGGTGTGTTTGGAGTCGTGGAGCCCCCCAGGCGCTCTCGGGGTCGCCTCGTCCTCCACAGCCTGGTGATGTTTGGTAGGGAGTTCTGCTACGCTGTGGAGGCAGCCTTCGTCACACCGGTGCTCCTGAGCGTCGGCTTGCCTCGGAGCCTCTACAGCCTGGTGTGGCTGATCAGCCCCATCCTGGGCTTCCTGCTTCAACCCATCATCGGCTCAGCCAGTGACTACTGCCGCTCACAGTGGGGCAGGCGGAGGCCCTACATCCTGGTCCTTGGCATCCTCATGCTGCTGGGAATCAGCATGTTCCTCAACGGAGATGCTGTCATCTCAGGTGAGGGCAAAGGCGTATTATAATCTAGTTCCAGCTGTAACTTGGCTCTAATCATGCCTTTAATTTAAAGTATTGAAACAGAATTCAAATGAGAACTATGATAGAACATCTGGAACAAAAAAGACAGAATGTGAAACGTTTTCCTCTCTTAGATCAAGGTTGTTCCTTTGGAGAACATCTCTTGATTTATCATCAAATTCTAATCTGATTGGATTATTTTTACACTAATGAAAACGTTAAAACACTGATTTGGTGCCCCGTCTTCAAAAACGGCTTAATTATCATGACAGTAAATACAATTAGATTTGTTGAAAATGAAGCAAAAAACACTCAAAGACCATTCCCCCCCACACAGTTTTTTTTAAGTTGTGGCTGAATTTAAACATGTGATGACACATGCTGGTCCTGTGTTGATGCCCACTGGAACAAACAAAAGTTGAAAACCTCAGATAATATTTGCACATCTTTGTGAGAATCATTCCAGGCTCCAGGCAGCATCACGAGAAGATCTCAGGCATGCCGGTAAAGGGGAAACACAAGAGCAAGTTCTATTTACTTTGATGCCACGTGAACGGCTTTACTGGGAACTTTACAGAGTGTGACCTTACCCTCTTGTCTCCTAAACATGATCACGTGCAGACTCGGAGGTCTTTAATCACGTCTTTAAATCTTCATGTAATCTTTGAATCTTTACAACACTGGTTTGGGTTCAGGGTTCAGGTTTTCTGATTTTATTCATAACAAAATGCCTCTAAAAACGGATTATTTTACTTCCTGAGATATTTATTCTTGAAAAAGCATTTCTGACCAGTTGAATTGAGTAACTTTGCAGATAGGTGCGGAGAGGCAGTAAAAACTAACAGACGAAATCAGGATTTCTTTACTTTTTAAGGAACTTTACAGACTAAATAAATGTTAAATTAAAAAGATTAGTGATGATTATTATTCTGTACAAAAACATAAAACAGCAGATTTTTTCATTCATTTAAATGCATCTGTGGCAAACTTATACAAGCTATTGTAGATCACTTTCCATACAGCCTCTGTTTAGGGGAATAGTTTACATCTGACCAGACTGATATGCTACTGGCTAGTCTGCGGAGAGCCAAGACCAAAATTTATTGCTGCCATCTTAACATTTTTTTTATTGTTTTTACATTTAATTTATGTTTTTTATGTTTATACTTTTCTTAATGCATCACTTATGTTGCATCAGGGGGTCAGGGTTGTCAAAGTAATGTGAAAGTATGGTGTTGCAAAGACTTATAATATAATATTTGCAAAAACAGTGGTGAAATTTAAAAGACTAAGGTTGTTTTTCTTGCACTAACCTTCAGTCCCATTGGACCTGAAAGTTAGGAAAACTTCTACACTGAAACATACTTTATAAGGCTTAAATACTCTAATATCAAATGCCAAATAAAGTCTTGGTCTGCAGCATTCATAGACCAAACACAATCTGTTCTAAAAAAAATCCAGAATCTCTCAGGTGAAAAAAGTAATAAAAATGTTTTATTGAAAAAAAAAAAAAAGATCAGACAGTTAAGACAGACTTTGAATCCATCTTGTTATCTCAGCACAGATTATTAATTCATGTAACCCAGATTCAGTCCTCCTCATCAGCTACCTGGTCCTACTCCTTGTGATGGTCCTTTACTGTTTTCATGTGAACGTGTTTCTGTGTGTTTAATAGGATGCAAAGTGCTTATTGAAGCATTTATAAAGCATTATTTCAGTTTCGTGCATGCAGCTAAACCGGCATAACTGAATTCTTCTGAAGCCACAGAGCTGTGAACGCTGATTTTCATTGAGCTGTAAATACACCAGCTGTGTGAAAATCCATTGATGAGGCAGCGGGGGAGTGGTTGGACCTGCACGAGTGGCTTGAATTCAGCTACGAACAGAAATGTGATGGAGCTGATTGTGAGAGGCTCCACTGAGGTGCAAATGTCACTTTCAGAATATTTTAGCTTCCTGCTAACAGTCACAACCCTTATTTTAATGAGGCATGTACGGAATGTTTTGTATGTGCTAACTGGAACAAGTCTTTTGTGTGGAATCAATAGATTTATACAAGAACCTTACCAGAGTTGATCTGCCTGTGTTGCACTTCATGTATTTACTTAACAATATTTATACTTTATATTAACTTAAGTGTTTTAATAGTATCTTTAAAATCAGAGAATAACTGCATGAACAGCCCTATTTGTTTTCGTCTTCCTGCAGTTTTCACTGGTTACGTCTGTTTCCTTGCATCTTGCAGTTCTGGTCAGGGACAGGTCGTTGAAGAGTATTTGGGCCATTGTGGTGGTGATGTTCGGGGTCGTGCTGTTTGACTTTGCAGCTGATTTCATTGATGGACCCATCAAGGCCTACTTGTTTGATGTGTGCTCACACCAAGACAAGGAACGAGGTCTGCACTACCACGCTCTGTTTACAGGTATGTCCCTACACATGACTCTGTGTTTGCTTACGTTGTTTCTAAAGAGAAAACTGATGATTTTAGTCTGAATTCATCCCTATTAGACATCACTGATATTGTTGCATTGAAAAAGAAGATGAGTAATTTACAAATTAGTCAGGTGTCCATGACAGACATTCGGAATAAGTACGAGCTGCTGTCATCGAATAATTCAAAGATCATTTTAGAAAACAATTTATTGCTTAATCAAAGGATTTTCACACTATCCTTGAAGTGAGTTTCTGTATAAAGGTAAGACATACAACCCACTGAAGAAGTTATGTTCGGTTTCCCAACTGTAACCAACTCCAGTCGGCATTATTGCCATTTAAAACAGCTTCAATCCAGATTTCCTGCATGTTACTGAGGATTCTTTACATAAACACTAATTTTACAACAAACTTTTTTATGGTAGAAATATAAGGAACTTCCTGCCAGACTTGGATGCACAAGAAAAGCTTCTGCTGACAATGATTCTTGTAAATAACAAGATAATTCTATCTAAACACCAATGTAATATCAAACAGGCTCAGGTCACATGACCTGAGAAATGTTGAAAACCCCTTGGTCTTAGTTGTGCTGTTACCTCCTTTGTCCTGAAAGGGGATGTTCACGCACACACTGTTAAATAAGAGGATCAACACCATTGATAACAGGATGGAAACCTGTCAAGACATCTATATACTTTTGATAATAAGTATAATTAGTGTGTAGCTGCTTATTTTTATCCAGCATTGTGAAATGTTTTGTCAATAAAGGTGAATAGTTTTATTCAGTCATTGTGAGCATCCTGTTGTTAATCATCGGTTTCTGATCCATCCATCAAACTGTCCTCTGACTGTCCCTCCGCCCTCTGCACCCAGGGTGCCTAAGTCACACACATCTACTTCCGGGCCATGGGTCCCCGGAAGAACAGAAAAATGAATTCAAGTTAACGGGGATGAAAACACTATTTTCTAATTCTGCTTGTTATATACCATGGATTTCACATATGATGTCCATGAATTTTGAAAAAGCATTTTGATACCAAGAAGGAGCTTATTTTCACATGCAGGGAAACTTTATTTTAGATTTTGTGTGAAAACAAGTTCAGGACTGTAAATGTGCTTCACAAAATTAACACCATCGAACCAGACACAGAGAAAAACAGAGGGAAAATGGCTATAAGTTCAGTAAACTTCAAATCCTTCTTTGAGGAGCAAAGAACCACCATAAATCTGGCCATGCGGTAAGTAGCAGCTATGCTAGAGAAGAGATTCTGTGGTGATGTCACATATGCGACGTGCTGATGTCTGGTTGGTAGTCATGCTAATTACAAACGTTTACAAGCTGATAAATCTCAAAGTATGTGACAGGCATGGGCTAAACACTCATCATTACTTTTCATTTAAATAGCAGTACAACATATGTGCGATCCAGGGCATGAAGCAAAGCAGATTAGAAAATAGCTCTTTTAGCCTCGTTGACTTACAGCGTAGCTGCGCAGTGGTTAGGGCTGTTGCCTTGCAGCAAGAAGGTCCTGCGTTCGCATCCTGGCCTGGGGTCTTTCTGCATGGAGTTTGCATGTTCTCCTTGTGCATGCGTGGCTTCTCTCCAGGTTCTCCGGCTTCCTCCCACAGTCCAAAAACATGACTGTTATGTTGATTGGTATGTCTAAATTGTCCTTAGGTGTGAGTGTGTGTGTGCATGATTGTTTGTCCTGTGTGTTGCCCTGCGATGGACTGGCTCTCTGTCCAGGGTGTACACCGCCTGATTGCCCATTGACCGCTGGAGACTGGCACCAGCCCCCCCCCACCCCCCCACCCCCACCCCCCCACCCCCCGGCCCCCCTACATGGCCAAGCGGGTTCAGAAAATGGATGGATGGACTTACAATGTTGTTTTACATGTTTTGTCCAGAGTCTGGTTCTGTTCTTGATGTGAAATGTTAAGGTGATGGACCTGTTGTCTGTGAACACAGCCTGTCCTCAGCCAGCTGGCTGAGCTGTCTGTGAGTTTGTTGCCTTGGCAAAATGTGTGCGTGTGTGCATGCATGAGTGTGTGTGTGTGTGTGTGTGTGCATGTTAAAAACTGCCCTTTTTATCACAAAACTACACCTCCTTATACTAGCTAGCATTTTAAATGATGACGTATGCATGTTACATTATGAAATAAGAAAGAAAAGGTTTCTACAAAGGGTTGAAAACGTAAAACTGAACCTTGAGAAACAGACAGTCTTGTGCAGGGGTGGCTGGGATGATAACTGAAGATAAGGAGGTTAGACATTTAGAATTTGGAATTTTCAAAAAGCAGCTTTGTGTGAATTGCAAGAAAAACATCTCCTATTGCACCTTTGAGTTTTGGTCCCCCGTAGTTTATGACAGACGTTACATCATCAGAGGGCTGAGAAACAAACTCAGCATTTGTTACCTGCTAAGCTCTAAACATCAGGCATCAGGAAAAAGGATCAAACTGAAGAACATTTTCAAGCCTTTCACTGATGTTTAAGAGCCAGATTCTTCCCTCATAGGATGCAGAAAAACAACTGAAACAAAAGAAAAGTGACAAGTCTTTGCATCTGTTTTCTGAGACAATAGTTGCTGTAAGGCAAAAACATCAAATCAGACTGAATAATGAAATTATTTTAATGCAACAGAAGACTTTCTTCATTTAAAATACATCCAATTAATTCCTGGATAAAGTTTTAATTGTCTTAATTAGCATTTTACGTATCTGTGTTTTTCTCATTTAATGATCTGAGGAGTCTATGATAAATGATTGTAATTCTCTCGATTTTATAATTTGCTTAATGATGTATACTAAGTCTGCATATTTTCAGAAAATTATCCCACATGATTGGTTCACTTTTCCAACGAAAACAGCTCTCAGAAACAAATGGGATGGAGTCAGACTTCAGCGAGCAATTCTGTAGGATTTTCTTAGATTTCTGTTTACTTCCTAAAGTTTCTGGGAAGACATCAGGTGCAGAATTGCATCCTGAACCTCAAACGAAGCTGCAGTTGATTTTCTTTCCCCTTCACCTAAACGCTGCTGTTGTGATAGTCCTTGGTTCCTCAGGTTCACGTTCAGAGGGAGCTTTAAAAATTGAGTTTAAAACACATTTTTGCCTTGAAGGTGAAAAAATTTATATTTGCATCTATTTTTGACAGCAATAAGAGGGAATGACTGACACCTGTGACATTTAGTTTTGCCGTATTTCATTTCTCTTCATGTCAAGTTTAAGGTCTAAAACTCCACGTTAAATTAAATGCCTAACCTTTCCTTCACAGATGTTAAATAGAGTTGGCTGTGAGAAATACAGACCCTGATGGGACTCTATTTCACTGGGCAAAACGTTTATTTACGCTGCTACTAGAACAGCAAACATGTCTTACACACATCCAGTAATAATTCTGTTTTCATAAGGGAGTTCCTAAAGAAGCCTGAAAGAAAGGTCTAAAAATAAACACCATCGAGCAAATATTCTTTCCTGCACAGCCAGGGGGTAAGATGATGTCTTTGGTGTGAGTGTCAGCGGAGCGTTCAGCTGCCAACAGGCACCGGCTGGTGTGAGCACATTAGTCAGGCAGTAATCCAGCCCCGAGCTCGTCATGTGCTGCAGTCATGAGTCTGGGCTGAGAGAAACACAGGCCAGGCACATGACTCTGGAGACAAGCCTCCCACCGCTGGTATGTGAGCTCCAAGAAGGAAGGCACGGGACGAGTTTTTCTCTGTGACTCCCACAAACTCCTGTTTATCAGAGGTGCACGTCTGTGAGTGAAACTCTAAATCACATAAATCACTGCGTGTTTGGCTAGCCAACAAATCCCACATGGACAATGTCCGGGATGGATGGCTCAAAAATATATTTTAGACAAGTGCTACAGCAGCAATCCTGAAAACGTCAGTGTTTCTGTATCCCAAGTCCAGTCATTGTGCTGCCAGTTGGCAGGAAAAACTGTTTGTTGTGCTTTACTCTTTGGCAAAAACATTTTATTACCTTCTGGCTGAAAATATAACAAACCGGAAAATGTGAACATTTCAAAGATACGAAACCGTTTGGAAAATGCAGCCATGAAAAAAAAGCTTAAAAATGTCATATGCCACCATATTAAAAGAATAAAGTTTTTATGTAGGGGTGGGCAATATAAACGATGTAAGGTAGAAACGGTATAAAATTGGGTAATAATAGAGTTTTTGGCTATATCGCAATACCGCGATATCGCAATAACACACGACGTCACTAAAGGTCTTAGGTGTGTTCTTGCTGTGTCTTTCTAAATCCATTCTTTCGTTCAGATTATATCGCAATATAGATTGCTTAAGAGAAAACCATATAATGGACTGGGACAGCACACGGATCATAACCACTGAACAACAAAAATACAAAAGATGGATCAAGGAAGCAATAGAGATAAGGAGACGTGGATGTGGGACCATGAACAGGGACGACGGAGTTTACACGCTGGACCACGCATGGGACTGCATCGTCGGAGAGGGGAAAGCGGGCAGTAGAGGGCGACAACGTCCTCTGCTGCCCGCAGATAAACGGAGAAGGAAGTGACGCGCCACCATCAGCGTCAGCCTGAAGAAGCCGGCAGCCGTCGGCGAAACTGTAGCTACAAACAGACTGACAAACAGATAAACAGGTGACAAATATGATGAATAATGAACGATTAGCTTTAGCGAAGACGTAATGAAACAGTAATAAGTCCGGTTGAAAACTTCATTCAAAAGAATAGAACGGAAAATACAAGTTCAGCATCCCTGTCGGCGTTGGAGGCCTTCTGCTGCAGGAGGGCTTTATGTGGACAAGTGTCCTTTATTTGTCAGGAAAGCAAAGGCATAAGTCCTTGGCTCAGTCCTCCCTTTGTTCATCTTCGTGCAGCGTGGTCTTTTATTTATCTTCTCACATGTCAGGACAGCTGAAAGACCCCGACAAAAGAGTGGTTCCCCTTTTTATAGCTCACATCTCTTCTGTGGAAACTGTGGGTGGAGACT